ATTTACTGCTAGGTGAACAGGTGCATCAGGGGTGAAAGAAACAATGCCTATTTTGTTTCCGCCTCCACCGGGGATCGAACCCGGAACCTCAGGACTACGAATCCCAAGCGCTGTCCACTCAGCTGTCAAACCCCACACGGTACAACACAAAATTACAAGAATCACAAACTGTTGAATTCTCGCCCGCCGGGAGCGAGCGAGGAAGCTCGCCTTCCACAGTGAGAAAGAAACCTCTTCTGCCGGAGTGAGAAAGAAACCTCTTCTGCCGGAGTGAGAAAGAAACCTCTTCTGCCGGAGTGAGAAAGAAACCTCTTCTGCCGGAGTGAGAAAGAAACCTCTTCTGCCGGAGTGAGAAAGAAACCTCTTCTGCCGGAGTGAGAAAGAAACCTCTTCTGCCGGAGTGAGAAAGAAACCTCTTCTGCCGGAGTGAGAAAGGAGCTTCAAGTGCCGGAGTGAGAGACGAGCCTCACCCGCCGTAAAGAGAAGCCCCGCTTGCCGGAGCGGGAATTATCTGGGAAAAGGGCCAAACCATTACGACTACATAGCACCAGGAAGGGATCAGGATAAGAATTTGGGATGAGACGAGGGGAAGGAATGATGCCCAACCACTTGGACAGTTCTGGGATTGAACGCCGACCTGCAATGAAGCGAGACCGTCGCTCTACCGTCCAGCCCAAGTGGTTGCTCACTTGCCGGAGAATGAGGAATCCCGCCCACCAAAGTGAGAAAGGAACCTCTCCGGCCGGAGTGAGAGAGAAGTCACGCAGGGGTCTGGACGCTTATCAAGGCTGAGGTTTGACGACACCTCGGTGAGTGCTCCCGCTGATTGCCTCGTCCCACCACTGTGTTTACACCACCACCACCACTTTAACAAGATTATGCAGATGACGAACTCTTACACAAAACTTCCAAGCCTCCATAAAAAGGGACAAATCCTCCGAAATCCACGAAAAGTAACCAGCATCATTCAGGGCGTTGCTTCAGGGGGACATCAATGAATAAATGCCCATTAACGACCCAAGTGTGCACTCTACAACAGATCCGTCAGCAATTTAGGATCATAAAAGCATAGCTTTTCATTCAATGTCTCCCTACCTTGATATAACGACGGCCCTTCTACACCATCACTTCCCCAAATAATATGATAAAAAATCATGAAACCTATAGAAAACTCAGGAAACGAAAAAAAAAACTGGTTGAAACTGATTTTTCAAAACCAAGAAAAATTAACCTCAAACTGCAGGTGGACCGAATCGTAGTCATGTGAATCACGTGGGCTGGACCCTCCCTGGACCGTTCCTGGACCGTTCATGGACCCTTAATGGACCCTACCAGGACCGTCCCTTGCCGTGAGAACATTATTTAACAATATATTCGTGATATATCTCGTCAAAATTGATAATTTGAGAAAGGCTGAGTTGCAGCTTCGGGAGAAAATGCAAGCTTAGTAAGGCGGAAAGAGAGAGAGAGAGAAGGGGGGGGGGAGAGAGAGGGGGAGGGGAGAGAAAGAGAGAGAGAGAGAGGGGGGGGAAGAGAGAGAGAGAGAGGGGGGGGGAAGAAAGAAAGAAAGAAAGAGAGAGAGAGAGAGAGAGAGAGAGAGAGAGAGAGAGAGAGAGAGAGAGAGAGAGAGAGAGAGAGAGAGAGAGAGAGAGAGAGAGAGAGAGAGAGAGAGAGAGAGAGAGAGTGAGTCTGGCAGACGACACATCCTTGGTGGAAGAGGAGAGGCAGTGTGGCAGACGACCCATCCCTGCTCCCTGCCCATAAGCCCGAGGGCTCCACTCTGTGATAAGCCTCGTTAGCCAGTAACGAGGCTCCGGCACCCCATAGTGCGTCGCCCATTCATAACTACTGTACTCCACCTGCCTCCTCCACACCCACACACCTGCCTCCTCCACACCCACACACCTGCCTCCTCCACACCCACACACCTGCCTCCTCCACACCCACACACCTGCCTCCTCCACACCCACACACCTGCCTCCTCCACACCCACACACCTGCCTCCTCCACACCCACACACCTGCCTCCTCCACACCCACACACCTGCCTCCTCCACACGCACGCGCGCACACACACACACAACCTGCCTCATCCACACGCACGCGCACACACACACCTGCCTGCCTCGTCCACACGCACTTGCCGCCTCCTCCACACACACACACCTGCCTCCTCTCCACACACACACACAGCACCAGTGCCAGAGTGAAGCACACGCCTCCCAAGGGCCACAAACCTAAGTGACAGCAGCGCTCATGATGTGGATTTCATCCATTTATTTAATACTCTTTATCGCTGTCATATATCAGATTACATCAACTACCATCCAGGCAGTTGGTCCATGTGGTCCTGTGGTCCCTGTGGTCCCTGTGGTCCTCGTGGTCCTGGAGGTCCTTGTGGTACATCAACAACCTTCCAGGCTACATAACCGGTCACACACTTTCCCCTCTGACAAATAATAAATTAACACAAATGATAATTCCCGGCGGGCCTCACTTACCTGATTCTGAGGTAGAGGAAGAGGAGGAGGAAGATGCAGATGAGGAGGAGGAGAAGGAGGAACTCTCCGAGACGGACCGACGCTTGCCCATGATCTCCACGTCGAAGGGAGGCAGGAGGCCGGGGCCCAAGGACTCGAGTCGCCTCCTGAGGAACCGCTGTTCCCGGGCCAAGTGGTCCTTGTGAGCCGTCTGCTTCCTCTCTTTATCCTCCAAGTTCTGAAAATTCAAAGTCTGTAATGAATAATAACATTAAACTTGCATAACGAGGATAATTCACATAAAAGAAGACTACATATACGAAAGTCTCCCGGCCAGGTCTCGCCCCACGGCAAAGGTACACAGGATATCATTGATGATGTCAATCTCATCTTTTCTCAAACTCGAGGCCGTCTCGAGTCATAGCAGTAAACTCGAGGCCGTCTCGAGTCATAGCAGTAAACTCGAGGCCGTCTCGAGTCATAGCAGTAAACTCGAGGCAGTCTCGAGTCATAGCAGTAAACTCGAGGCAGTCTCGAGTCATAGCAGTAAACTCGAGGCCGTCTCGAGTCATAGCAGTAAACTCGAGGCCGTCTCGAGTCATAGCAGTAAACTCGAGGCCGTCTCGAGTCATAGCAGTAAACTCGAGGCCGTCTCGAGTCATAGCAGTAAACTCGAGGCCGTCTCGAGTCATAGCAGTAAAGTCGAGGCCGTCTCGAGTCATAGCAGTAAACTCGAGGCCGTATCGAGTCATAGCAGTAAACTCGAGGCCGTCTCGAGTCATAGCAGTAAACTCGAGGCCGTCTCGAGTCATAGCAGTAAACTCGAGGCCGTCTCGAGTCATAGCAGTAAACTCGAGGCCGTCTCGAGTCATAGCAGTAAACTCGAGGCCGTCTCGAGTCATAGCAGTAAACTCGAGGCCGTCTCGAGTCATAGCAGTAAACTCGAGGCCGTCTCGAGTCATAGCAGTAAACTCGAGGCAGTCTCGAGTCATAGCAGTAAACTCGAGGCAGTCTCGAGTCATAGCAGTAAACTCGAGGCAGTCTCGAGTCATAGCAGTAAACTCGAGGCAGTCTCGAGTCATAGCAGTAAACTCGAGGCCGTCTCGAGTCATAGCAGTAAACTCGAGGCCGTATCGAGTCATAGCAATAAACTCGAGGCCGTCTCGAGTCATAGCAGTAAACTCGAGGCAGTCTCGAGTCATAGCAGTAAACTCGAGGCCGTCTCGAGTCATAGCAGTAAACTCGAGGCCGTCTCGAGTCATACCTTCGAGCATAGATTAACTATTATCAACAGAGTGTAGTAGATTTTAATGTCAGTATTTAAGTAATATGTTATGAGTCCGACAATCTTTTGTTTTGACGATTGGGCTGTCAGGAGGAAAAACTCTCCAATCACCCTCTACACACAAGCTGAACGTGGGAAGTCTCCAGGAACACGAGACACACGCCTGACTTCAAGTACTGTAAATATATATAGATGAATGGCAGGTACTGGATAAGATATGAACATTAACGAGCCTGTTCTGTGGATTCTGCGTTGGTCCCCCTCTGGGATACGGGGTCACTATACTGATACACACGGTGTACAGGTAACGAGGTCATGTACTCTCAAAATTCAGCAGTCTGATATCTTCATAGAAAGAGTTAGTAAAGATTATGGGTTGGCACAGCTGCTGTCTAGCTCATTGCAAGGTTCAGTATCAATTATCAGGATAACATGCCAAGCCAGTCATATGGTATGCGGATATACAATGACACATCAGGAACTGGTATACGAGGAGAGAGGGAATTATCAGGGGAAAAGCGCCAAGCCAATACAAGTATATAGCACTTGGAAGGTAGTTAGGATAAGAATTTTCGATGGGACGGGGGGGGGAGGAATGGTGACCCAACCACTTGGACGGTCGGGGAATGAACGCCGACCTGCATGAAGCGAGACTGTCGCTCTACCGTCCAGACCAAGTGCTTACGAAGCCCAACCACTTGAACCATGGGGTATGGAGCGCCGACCAGCAAGCAGCAAGACCATCGCTGTATTGGAGGTATAGGCATGAGCCTCAGAGGCGGACTGAGCTGATGAAGACCTTCAACAAAGCCGACTCCCAGCACCACGTACCTCTACACCCTGGTCAGAATTCCCTTCCCTTCAAATAAGTTTAGCCCAAAACTGCGTTCGAATCCCAGCTATATCTACTTTTTTTTTTTATAAATAAAGGTGCCCAAAGGATTTACAAAAACCCGAATCACAGAATTCATTACTGACAACCACGGTCGCAAGATGTGTCCCTAAGACACACCCACAAAGGAGCCACACACCCCAAAGTTGTATAACTTGAATCATATCCTTTATGATGTATCATGTTGGGTGGGGGGGGGGGGGGATGTTCTAAGCCCAAGGTAGTGTAAATTGATTCTCCAAGAATGGTCAGAGGCACTCAATGGTGCGGTCTCAGGACCGACATCTACGCTGCGGTCTCAGGACCGACACCCACGCAGCGGTCAGGACCGACACCCACACTATTATGACAAAGTAAATCCGGCCAGTCTTCGCGAAGGTTGGGGTGTGTGTGGGGGGGGGGGATCTCGGGAGAGACGAATCTTAAAATCAACAAAGAAATTACTAAATGGAATCTCAAATGAGATCTTAGTTGCCAGTATGAGATAGGTTTTTAAGGGGGTTCCCGCCGGCACGCCTCCGCCCCAGACATCTTTGTGGACTCCAGCTTTATGTTTTGTGTACCCTAGCTCATATATATGTATATATATAATATATAATTTGAATAGTTTGATTAGATTACTTCTCACCGTCTCGCCGGTGATGTGGATGACGTCCATGTGGCCTCACGTCGTCCTGAAGACGTCCTCACCACCACCTACGGAAGGGAAGGTTCACCAGCCGTCCTGAAGAACCCCTCCTCGTCCGCCCCGGATTAGTATGCAGCAACAATGAGAATTACGTCTCATAACAAGGAGGAAAGCATTTTCTTGCCTGACTTTTCTTGCCGAATAATTATCGTCGTCGTATTACAGGGAGTTGGAGGCGTCTTGTCCGTGTGCTTAAAGAAGCACGCTCCATACACCAGCACAAGACCCCGGTATCATAAGGTCTACAAACCTGACCATCCTACACCAATCCACTTTGCATACCAGCGCTGAATTCTCATTAGTCGAAAGGAATCGTATATTTATGTTGACATATTTTCATAATGCAATTCGATTTGTACGCCTGTATCTCCATCTGGTTCAAATATGATGGATTTAGCGTGGGAAGGTGAGAATTACAGCACAGCATACGAGGATAGAGGTCCCAGCGAGGAAAGTGTCCACTACACGCCAACCTGTCTAGCCCCTGTCTAGCCCCTGTCTAGCCCTCGTTATGTAGGTTTTTGTTGATTATGGCTGTGCATAAACCTAGCGAGCACACACACACACACACACACACACACACACACACACACACACACACACACACACACACACACACACACACTTTATGATGTGACCTCTCTTAAGCCCTCGAGTCTGCCTCCCTCTCTGTTTTCATACATACATAATTTGTCTCTTATAAGACAAAGAGCAACACATATACGGAGGGAAGGGAATTATCAGGGGAAAAACGTCAAGGCATTTCGACTATATAGCACAGGAAAGGGGGTCATAAGGATTTGCTATGGGACCCGGGGGGGGGGGGAGGAAGGAATGGTGCCCAATAACTTGGACGGTCGGGGATTGAACGCCGACCTGCATGAAATGAGACCGTCGCTCTATCGTCCAATCCAAGTGGTTGGGGAATATTTGTACGAGATAAATTAATTAGATAATGAAATAAAGCAGAGAGCATAATTTTAAATCACATGTGTGAGAGTTTAGTTAAAAAAACACGTTAAATAACTGAAAATATCCTAATACAATAATCTCTTTCACAATAAGGCAATTAATGAAGATGTATTGAATGATGGAGTGAGAGGTTCATACTGAATATCAACAGGGATCCACACACTATAGTCCACAAGTGTGAGCCACATTTTCAATTTAATAAAATATAAGCTCCCTCTCCCGTGAACAAGATAACTAATATGACAGCTCCGCAATAAGCGACCACTGCCCATGTCGCTCCTGTCCGTCTTCCGGTTAACCGGCCCTCTAAGTGTCCGCTAGAGCTGACTAAACCGGCCAAGACGGTCTCGCGACCCGCGACGCCTTGGAATTTCCCCGCCAAATGGCTGTTGTTAAGTCTTCCCCCTCGGGAGGTCAGACAAACTATACTGTTTGAAGAGTATAGTCCACCCAAGTATTGTTGTGGTCCTGAGCCCACACCGAGCGGGTATCTCCATTCCGACAATCGACTTGAGAACGGTCCAGGAAGGTCCGAAACGTCGTCGTCCCTTCATTTTCTAGTGTATGGATTGGTCAACGTATCTTCATTAAATCTATAAGCGTGCCTCTTCTTGACTGGCCTTCCGCGCCTTCACAAATGTGTTTATATATATATATATATATATATATATATATATATATATATATATATATATATATATATTATATATATATATATATATATATATATATATATATATATATCTGCTCCACAAGTCGTAGTGTTTAAACATCCATTGTGCCTCGGTGTTCTATTTCTTTGCTTTTTCTAGAATTATTAATATAATTAATTTTACTATACAAAGCTGGGGATGTGCTACATCTCCCTTCCTCTCTCCCCCCACATCTTTCATGTCACTCGGGGTTACGGTCTTAACGTAAAACAAAGAAAGAGAAACACGGATGTTTTAAAAACTTCCTCTTCATGCAATGTTAATTTTCTCAATGGATATGATGTTTTTTTTATCACTCCTTCGTTAGCCTAGACCTAGACCTCCCCTCCTTGTGATCTAACTTAGCCTAACTTAGCTCTGTGATCTAATGTAGCCTAACGTAGCCCTGTGATCTAAACTTACCTAACTTAACCCTGCGATCTAACCTAACTTAACTCTGATGTAACAAGGCCAAACTTCCTCTGTATTATCACTAATTCTTCTCGCCAGTAACTGTAGGCGTGACAAACATACCTGCTGAGAACGATGGAGAGTTATGGTGTTATAACTCAATTGTAAATTGTATACTTTGAGTAAGAGAAGGGAACTATCAGGGGGAGAAGCACCAAGCCATTTCGACAATATAGTACTGGGAAGGGGGTCAGGATGAGGATTTAGGATGGGACGAGGGGAAGGGAATGGTAGTTTA